TATTTCAATTTAAAAGACCAAAATTCAGTTTTGTCACAAAACAAGCAATGAAAAATTCGGTGGTAGTGCAGCGACCTGTTTAAAATAGTTCTCTTGAATATTAGTGTGTATATGAACGCGAATGAATCGTAAAAAAAAAAAAAAAAAAAAAAAAAACAGGTATCATTTCTTGATTTTTGTATGTCTGTTATTAGAGAAGTGATAGATAAGTTTCACACAAGCAGACACATGGTCTGCCGTGGTCAACTGTCACATGAAAATCTGTTACATTTATCTGAACAGCATTTTCCTAGTTTTATACCAGCAATAGAAAAAAAAAACCACCAACCAGAGTGTATAAAGTCTGTTCAGCAAACAAAAAGCGAGTAGAATCACATTATCAGTGTGTACAATGTTCTGTTCCACTATGCGTTGTTCCTTGCTTTGAGATTTATCACACGAAAACTAACTTCTGAAATAAAATTTTTTGTTTTTACATATCCTAATATGTCTATTTTATGTATATGAAAAATATAAAGTAATTTGAAATGATACAATAGCCACAATTATTATTTTTCTAGAATGTGTGATCACGTTAGGCTTAACATCAAAAAAAAATTCAACATGGAGTGATATGTGACAGAGAAAATACTCAACATCGGATAGGTTAAACATCTGCATCTATTATATCTGCAGAAGAGCAACCTAATTTATATAACTAATTTATATAAATTAATAAAACTATAGCCTACCTAATTTATGAAGAATTCATTCCAGAAGTTCAGACTGTTAACAGCAATTACTATTTGGGTATTATGCAATGATTGTGGGCTTGTATTCATTTTTGTTAAAACCCAGGAGAAATATGCAATTAAAAATTATAGAATAGAATAGAACAAACATTCTAGAAAAATTAAAATATTGTCTTCATAATTTGTGCTTTTTCACATGCCTTCTGAACAAAGACATGCAGCGTAATTGACCTTTATTTTAAAGTCCTTTTCTGCATAAAACTTTTTAAACTCATTTCTCTGGCACAGACTGAAACAAATAGTCAAATTTTTGGTGTCTGAAGGCAATGTAGTACTTGCCTGATTTGGGTTATATTTCCCTAATTGAAGTTAAAAGGTACTTGTTTTGATATTTCTACTATCCAAAAGGCTCTTAATTATCTAAATGAGAAGCCAATATCAGCTTACCAGAAGTACTTTGAATAATTTTATAATTGTTGTAAACATTGTGTTAACTCTCAAGAGGCTTATTTTGAGTAGTAAAAAATTATTTTTGTTATTTTTAATTTCACTGATAACATCAGACCTTGATCACACTGTATATTTTGTATTTGATGTATGAAGAAAAGTTTTCTTAAAAAATGATCTGAGAAAGTTAATTATTTTCAATCTTATTTCATGACACAAGTAATTTAGAATTATACTAATTATTGTAATTAATTTGATTTGAGTAAATTGAAGGAAAATATATTTTATCATGATTTGTTAACAGCAACAATGATTTTCATTGCACCTAAATAATATTAAAAAAATCTTTGTGATTATTATAAATTTGAAAATGGAATTTTTCAAGCAGTGTTTTTTCTATAGTATTGTAATTTGAATCACTTATTTTCACAAAGCATTAAACACATCATTTAAAAAATTAAATAATTTTCTTAATGCTCTGAAAATTAGATCAGGATAATCAGTTAATTATTATTTGATATGATATCATCAATTGTACATATTGATAAATTCTTGTTTAGAGAAAATTATGAAAAGTTTTTCTATTTATCCAAAATTTTTATATAACACTTTTTTTTGTTTCAACATTGTATATTCTAATTAATTTTGGATACATTAATTAATTTATACTGAAATTCAAAAATAGTAAACTTTATTGAACATTTGAAAATTTCATTTTGTAAAAATTAAATAATTTTTAATATATTTAAGTACCGTATTTAATTTTCAAGACAAAAAGAATGCATTTTAAGTTTGTATAAAGTGGTTTAAATCAATACAAATGCTCAAAAAAATTATGCAAATTTTTAAAAATTCAACAACTTTATAGATTGGTGTTTGGCTACAGCAGAAATTTAGTGGATTAGTATATGCCTACATCAAATCATTATTGTGATTAGTGGCAATTTTGTAGATTATTTAAATTTTTTTTGTGTGTTTGTTGATTTTGTTTGTATGTGCCATTTGATAAACATTAATAATTGTAAGTGACGAAAGATCACCTTAAGACATATTGATTAAAAAATAGTTATGAAAGAATGTTACATATGATTCCGTTTTGTACATTGATAATTATAATTACATTTAATATTTGTATTTTATCTTAGTCTATATAATAGAATTTATTGTTTAAATAATTTGATATTTATGTATAAAAGCATTAATCATGATTTAAAAAATAATTTACATTTAATAAAATGTGTTTAAAAATTTTTAAATAGCAAAATTAAAGAAAATCAAGATGGAAAAATATTCTGGTGATAAAGCTAATTTACAGGTAAGAAGAAAAGTTAATGTATTTCTTCAGTTATAAATGTTGAGTATTAAACAATTATGTATTAGAATTTATGGAAAACTATTTGATTAGTTTTTGTAGTTCTTAAAGTTGTCCTCTGTGATATTAGAGAAATTACATGTCTAAATAGTTGAGTATGGGCATCTTATATACAGTACATCTAAATTAATAAGTTGAACTATGGCTTTTTTCATGTTTTTGATGAAAATTTGACTTGCTTCAGTTGCAAAACTTATATTAATTTTCTTTACATTATCTTTAACAACAAACTTCCATTTGAATTTAACAATTAGTTTTTTTTTTAAGTATTTATGCATCGATACTTATGTATATAATAAAAAGTACATCTCTTTTATAGAAAAAATAATAATCTTTTGTGTAAATTTATTACATAAAAGATTATTATTAAATTATTATTATAAAAAAGATTATTATTTTTTCTACAAGGGATACTAATATACAGTAATACCTCGACTTACGCTACCCTGACTTACGCGAACCCGGAGTTATGCGATTTTCAAATCTCGTCAATTTGTCTTTTGTTTGAGCGCCACGCAACCATTGATTACTCATTCCCCCACACTATTGTTCAGCTTACATGTTCAGATGTGTCGCGCGCAATCGACACATAGCTACAATTTATTTTGTGTTATTTATTTCTGTGTTTGTTATATCTACGGAGACTTGAGAGACTCTACTATGTCATCTAAATGAAGTAGAACTAATTCTTCTGCATCAAACAAGAAAAGAAAAACTTTATCTTTGGAATGTAAAGTTAACATTGGGTATGTTCGTAAAGTTGAACAAGTTAAACGAGAATGACGTCATCGTTATTCCTATTTCGTTAGACTTTTCGAACGATTCATTACTAACGCATTTAACTCGTTTAACTTTACGAACGTACCCATTATTAATTAATTAAAGACTTCGATACAAAAATGAAAATTTGTGAATTGGCAAAGAAGTTTGATCTACCGGAATTGTCGGTCAGAACAATTATAAAAGGCAAAGAAAAAATTCTCGAAGCTGTGAAAAAT